GAGACAAAACCGTTTTAGAACGTAGCAGAGACGAGTGTCAGCGGTGTGAACTGGCCGGTCTGAGCTCGTCATTAAAGAGACACTATCAGTCGACCTCTGTTCCAATTTTAGTGACATTTGAACAATGTTTTCTTTTACGGAACGTGCTGTATTTGAAGAATTTGTTGTTTTATTCAAAAATGAGTCTTTACGAGACAAATATTAAAATCTCACCAATTGTGATTTATCGAACGAGGGATTCGTTGGGATATTTCATCAAATTGTGACACATTTTTTCCTCAGTGCGCCTCAGACATGACGGTTCAATAACAGACAGATCCACACGAGGCCTGAATCATCTGCTGCTGCCGCTGCTGCTGCTGCTGCTGCTGCTGCTGCGTAGCCTCACACTGCAGAGTCAGCTTCACCCCCCCTCCACCTCACCTCTTTATGTCCCACCCGGGTGGTGCAGCCCCGTCATAAATCTGATCAAAGGGGAGACGTTTCCATTAGAAGAAAATGGCAGCTTCTCAGAGCAGAACCGAGATTGATGGATAAAGTTAAATTGCATTAAGCGAGCAGTTTAAATATTTAGCGCGGCCTTATCATAACTGTTCTTAACACTTAAAGTAAAATACAGCCTGCCAGGTGCGGGACAGGTGCACGCTGACATGTATGTGAGCGTCCTGTGAGGTCCACCCCCGGCTCACCTTTCAGCCGGCGTCACCGGACTCTGTTAACAGTGACATTAAGATAAGTTGGAGGAGTGCGCAGCGATAACAGCGGCGTGTTTGAGGAGTGGACGTGGAGACAGGAGCGGGTTTTAGTGACTCCATTATCTCTGTTCCAATAAACACAGGACCTTTGTTTCATGCGCTCACAGATGAAGCCATTGTTTTAATTGGGGCTCGTTAAAGCCCCCCGGCTTCGTTAATGAGGAGCCGGTCGTAAACATTTACCTCCAGGTGACTCAGGGCCGAGCCAAGGGCAGCCACGGAACGAGACAGAGAAGAAGAAGAAACTCTGAGGTGTTTTTGTAAAGAATAAAGAGGACAGAAAGAAACGACCTGGACTTGTTTTTAAACCAGTGTTCTCAACAGGTTTGATCTAGTCTGAATACAAACATGTATTTACACCAAAGACAGGAGAGCACACGTGTTCGAGGCTGTAGTGATGATAGAAAACAGGCTGCAGGCGACTTGAAATCAACTTTGTACTTTTAACTGTTGAAGTCTGAGTCTAGAGAAAGAAAAGACTGAGACTCGTCATCCTGTGATCAGGTCTGTGCGGTGCTGTGTCTGTGTCTGTGGACGTACGATTCACGTGACGATGTGTTTGTGTGTTGCAGTCGCCCAGAAGATCGTGGCCACCAGGAAGAAGCAGCAGCTGTCCATCGGGCCGTGCAAGTCGCTGCCCAACTCCCCGAGTCACTCGTCTGTCTGCGCCACACAAGTGTCCGCCGTCCACATCAGCCAGGTCAGAGGTCACAGACACACACTTTGGAGGGACACGGTGACTTTCTACAGACAGCTGACGAGTTTCTGAACACGCTGTCTTCACGATCTCATCTCACGTTGTTTCTTTATTTGAGTCTTTTCAGCCCAAACGCGAGCATGCAGCATTTGGGAACTAAAGAGAGCGCAGGGCATTCAGGGAGTAAAGTGAGCACGGGGTGTCAGTGACAGGAAGTGGTTGCGGGGTGCTCGTTTGGGAACTAAAGTCAGCTTTGGATGCTGGGCACCTAAAATAAAAACAGGATGTTAAAGAATTAAACAACAGTAGGGTGTTCATGAACTTGAGACATTCAGGCGTATGGGAACTAAATTAGTGTGTTGCATTCAGGAAGGAAAATATTAGTGGGCCATTTGGGAACTAAAATGACTGTGGGATGCTCAATAACAGAAATAATCACAAATTGTTCAAGAAGGAAAATAACATGTAAAATGAGTGTGTGGCATTTGGGAACCAAAATGAGTGTGGGGCGTTTAAAAAGATAAATGATAGTGGGAAGTTCAGGAATTGAGATGTGCATGGGGTATTTGGGAACTAAAATGAGTGTGGGGCGTTCAAAAAGATAAATGATCGTGAGGTGTTCAAGAAGGTAAATAATTGTGGGGTGGAAAGGGAAAGATGAGCTTAGGGCACCAGGGAAGTGAAATGAACGTTCAAGGCGTTGAGTAAATCTGAGGCGTTTGGGAACGCCAGTGTCCTGGCTGTTTCTGGAGCTTTCAATTGTTGCCCAGGGGCTTCATCACCTGACCACACTCCATGTGCTGATGGAGACTGTGAGGTGTGTTTGAAGGCTCTGGAGGAAAAACAAATCGTACCTTGATTTAAGATGTTGTGGGTCAAACTCTACTTCACTTGTTGAGTGTGTTTTTTAAAGGTGTTTTTAGGCATTAACATGTGATTCTGTCCCGTTTAAACCTTTAACCCAGCCGCACACAGACGTGTGAGGAGCCTGTGTGCGGCGTTCTGCTGCAGAAACATTAACCTGACATGTGCGAGTGTAACAGCGGAGCTTCAGGCCGTTAAGCTCTTCGATCCTCATCCTTCAATCCCGCATTGATTCCTCATTAAAAAGCCATCGCTCAGCGAGTCTGAGCAGCGCCGCCGCGTTCCCCCGAGAGTCCTGTTTATCTTCCTGCCGCCTCCGCAGAGCGGCCCTCTGTGCGTCTTCAGCTCTCACTGATTACTGCCGAGCGTTCACCACGGAGACGCCTTATTACACTGACGAGACGTCTCAACACGTCAGAGGGAACTTTATTGAAAGCTGGTGCATTCACACACAACCAAATGAAGAGGTTGAATCCACAATGATTCACAAATACAAATAAAAATCTTCCTCCTCCCTGCCCTCACAGACAAGTAACGGCGGCGGCAGTCTGAGCGACTACTCGTCGTCGGTGCCGTCCACGCCCAGCACCAGCCAGAAGGAGCTGCGCATCGATGTGCCGCAGACCACCAACACGCCCACGCCAGTCAGGAAGCAGTCCAAGCGCCGCTCCAACCTCTTCACTGTAAGTCATGTTGGTCACAGAAACCTGCTCGTGTGGGAGGAAGTGACGGTAAATGTTAGAGTGCAGGAGTGTTTGTGAATTTCACCATTTTTATTCTGATAAAAGTCCAAAAATCGAGTCTTATTTTTGATATTTTGTCCATCGTGAGTCTCTAACAACTGTCAGATACGACTCCAGAGTATGACGATGAAGTTTGTCGTGTACATGTGGAATCAGATGAGAATCAGTTCAGGTTTAGTTCAGTATTGACTTGAAATCAAATCAGACAAACTGCGTAGATCATGTTGTTCCTACACTTGTACGTCATAGTGTAGAAACAGGAATCATCAGACAAAATAAGACGTTCATTCATTCAGCAAGCAGCAACAGGTTTTCGGCTTCACGGGACCGAGTGAGGTCACTTCAGCTCGTTATGTGTGTCTCAAGGAGTGAGACCGATCACAGACTTGGTCCATCATTGCGTTGAAAAAAGACATCGCTGCGTTTCCTGCCACAAAAATAGGTTGTTTTTTGCCGAGATGTTGCCATGAAAAGCAGATGTTTTTTTCCAACACACTTTTTCTGTCACGCAAGTGCCACAAAAATTAGCTATTTTTACTGAAACGTCGCTGCATTTCCTGCCAAGATAGTGCCACAAAAACGTGGCTGTTTTTTGCCAGGATGTTACCATGTTTCCCGCCGGGTTAGTGTCACGAAAAAACGGCAATTTATTTCCTAGACATTGCTGTATTTCCTGCCAAGATAGTGCCAAGAAAAGCTTTTAGTTCTGCTGAGACGTTGCTGCATTTCCTGCAGGGCTAGTGCCCCAAAGAGGAGGTTAGTTTTGCCAAGACGTCGCTGTGTTCCCTGCCAAGATAGTGCCACGAAAAGTGGTTATGTTTTATCAAGACGTCGCTGTGTTTCCTGCCAAAATCCTTGACATGATAACCTGCAGATGTGACGTATCCATGAAACAATGGATTTAAAACTCTGTTTCTTGTAAAGACGTGAAGATCTTGTAGAATAAGAACTGTTGTTTTGGATGTGTGAGGTACTGAGCGGTCGTCTTGAGCAGAAACAGGTTGTGATTAAAGCGTCAGTTTGAGGTCGACGTGTTGAGGAAGTCAGACTCAGATTCAGCTAAGATAACGACGCTTGTCTTTCCGTCCACAGTCGAGGAAGGCGAGCGAGCCGGACAAGGACAAGAAAGGCCTGGAGGCTCGGGCCGACAGCATCGGCAGCGGGCGAGCCATCCCCATCAAACAGGTGAGACTTCCTGTCTGTGTCTGACGCCTCGGCCTTGATTAACAGTGAAATCACACACTTAACATCAATTAGAGAGCCGGGCTCTCCCGGGTCCTCCAACCAGACCATTAGGAGATGGAGAGGGACTCTTTTCTCTCCTGCACCTCCTCCTCCTCCTCCTCTCCCTCTGTTCGTCCACTTCATCTCCCACTTCCTGTCTTTCAAAGACGCTCTTTGATGGCGGCGTTTGCACTTTTTAAAGGAATGAAAGACGAAGAAGGCGAAGCTGAGGATGAAGGGGAGAAGAGGGTGAACATCTCCACGACTTACCCGCGACACACATAATCACACGTCCCCGCTGCGGCGGCGAGCAGAGCACCTGAAATGGCTCTTAATTTGACGAGCGCCACCCGTGTTGAAGAGGCTGGTGGTGGCGTGCAGGGGGGGGGGGGGGGCGTTTCTACCGACAAGCAAAATCAGGCAATTAGAGAGCGCTAATTGCAGCCTCTCGTTTGTAATCTGCTAATGAACAAATCATCTGTGATTAGGGCAGAGACAGAGAGAGGCGTGAGCTGCTGTTTGCGTTTGGGGCCGTCGTCCCGCGTCGTGCAGTCGCAGCAGAGCGGGCCGGTAGTGGTTGTCATCGCGTGAGAATCCTACTTCTTCTTCTGTGGTGTTAATGCAGCGGTCCAGCTCTCACATGAGCTTGTCGCTTGTCAGTGATTCCCTAAACCGCGTGTAAAACATTTCACAGTGCTTGACAGGGTAAAATAAAAGATGAAAAATAAATTGGTAAATGAAAAAATGTGATGAAACAAAAAATAAACAGTATATTAAAATTTCTAAGACAAATAAATATTATACTAAAATATTACAATGATAAATGTCAATGAATAAAAGTCATAATAAAATAAAATACAAACAACTATAAATACATTTCTAATACTAAAAATTAGAATAATAAAATATAAATAAAAAATAAAATAAATTTATAAAAATACAACATTAAAATTTAGTAAATCAACAAATAAAAGTCAAATAAAATAAACACCTGAGTTTTGAGTAATGAGAGTATTTCTGAAGAAACAGATTTTCTGAATAAATCAGTCTGATCAGTTTCACATCGATCGATGAAGCAGCCGGAGGTTTGGGTTTCGTTCTCCACCGACTGAATCTCTGCTGGAGTTCACGTTGAGGGACGAAGAGGTGACGGAGAGAGCGTCTCATTAAGCGTGAACGCGGAGTGCAAATGGAGCGTTAATGGGAAAGAGGTGAACGTGGAGTGTAATAGAGTCTTTATAAAACACACACTCAGAGTCTCATTAGGGAGCAGGTCTGCGGAGGCTCGACACACCGAGGAGAGGAGCGGGCGGGGAGACGAGGCGAGAGCGACCACAGGGAACCATCAAATCAATTAACGTCCACTTCCCTAAAAAAAAAAACAGCCAACACGGAGGGAGCTGGGTGCCTCACAGCGCTGCCTCTTCTGCTTTATTCTGCTGCGTGTGTGTGTGTGTGTGTGTGTGTGTGTGTGTGTGTGTCCGACTGTATTAGCATGAATTTAATCAGCTGAAGCTTCTCGTGAGCAGGTTTTATCCGTAAATATGAAAAATATAAAACCCAAAAAATCCTAAATATGCAGAAAATGAACCGTCCTCAGATCCAGAGGTGCAAAGTAACTAGATACAAAAATACTTTACTCAAGTACACTTCAGCGTGCTACTCCACTTTATCTCGTAGAGAAATATTGTACTTCATTTATCTGACAGTACTAAACACCGTATGTAATGATACTGTGGTGAAATGTAACTAAGTACATGTTCTCAAGTATTTCACGTAAACAACGACTTCAGGATTTTTCAACCCGTGTCATAGGCTGCTTTCACACCCGCCATGTTTGGTTCTGATCAGTCAAACTCAAGTTCGTTTGCTCCCTAAGAAAAAAATAAATATTACAAAATCTAACTTAAAGGTCTGAAAACCAATATTTATATACCGGGAAAATCTTAATAAAGTGTCCAAAAAATACTAATAAAATCGCTAAAAAATATTAATAAGATGTCAGATAAACATTAATAAAATGTCCAAAAAAATCTGACTAAAATGTCTGACAAATATCAATCAAGTGTCTGAATTTTTTTTATAAAATGTCCAAATAATATTAATAAAATGTCCAAATAATACTTATAAAATCGTCAACAAATATTAATAAAATGTCCAACAAATATTAATATAATTTCCGAAAAATATTAATAAAATGTCTGGAAAAAATCTTAATAGAATGTCCAACAAATATTAATAAAATATGAAAAAAATATAACTACAATGTAGGACTTATATCAATCAAATGTCTGAAAAACATCTTAATAAATTGTCCAAAAAATATTAATAAAATGTCCAAAAAAATCTAACTAAAATGTCGGACAAATATCAATCAAATGTCTTAAAAAAATAATAATAATAAAATAATAAGATGTCGGACAAATATTAATAAAATGTCCAAATAATACTAATAAAATTGGCAAAAAATATTTATAAAATATCCGAAAAATATTAGTAAAATGACCAAAAAATCTCAATCAAATGTTTGAAAAAAATCTTAATAAGATGTCTGGTAAATATTAATAAAATATCAGAAAAAGAACATATGAACGTATTACCCTGACGTGACTTCAGCTCAGTGATCCAGTGTGGATTCAGGCTAAATGTGGTTACGTGAAGAGAATCAATTTGTTCATGGAGCTGGTTGTGTGATTAACAGGAAGACAGTGCCTAAGTGACAGGAAGCACCTTTATCTGTGTAGTGGACAGCTGTAGGTGTGTCAGCTGATGCTGCTGGTCTGTCAGACACTGTAAATTATCTTTGGCTTTCTCGCCAGTGAACCTTCACATGTGCAACTTTAAGTCTTGTTTATGGGACAGCGACAGCTGCAGACACAGAGGCAGCTGCCTGGAGCAAGAGAGACTGTCAGGCTTTGAGACCAGGTTATCGCCTCTCTTCTGCTGACAAGCGTTGACGCCATCGTTAGCGCCGTTAGCTCTTTTACTGTCAATGTCGCACCAAACGTCCGGCTGAACCCCTTCAAACGCAGAACATGGAAATACTTTGGTGCCTTGAATGTGTTCTCAAGTGCAGTGATCTGGTTTCAATCCCAAATGTTCAGGAGAAACTTCTTAAACCGTGAAATTAAGATGAAGCTATCAGCTCTGTCAAACATCATCGCCGCCCTGCCGTCCGTCGTTAACTGACCGCTGATTACCGCCGCACCTCAGAGGAAGGAGGCGGGCGGGCCGATGACCTAACAGAGTCCGACACCTGCCAGAGAGATTAGCGGCGTCACGTTACCCAACACACACACACACACACACACACACACACACACGCACACAGCGTACAGTCGTGTGACACCTCGTCACGACACACTGGAGCTTCACGTTACGTTTTTGATTTAATGCTTTTGAAATACTATAAATCGGTTAATTCAGATGTAAAATGAAAGCATGAAGATGAGAGGGTGATTAGTGACGTGACACTGTTCACAGGTTTTAAAATTTAACTTTATTTTGCTGGATTTTGTGTTGATTTCAGCTCCTGTGGCTGCTCCGACAGCTTCCTGCTCTTATTCTTTAACCTACATGTGTGTGTGTGTGTGTGTGTGTGTGTGTGTGTGTGTGTGTCGTACCTGTGTGTGAAACAGAGTGTTAAAGCCACTTGTTCGCTGCTCCTGATCTCATTAGAGCGACTCTCTGTGCAACTCTCGACCACTCGAGGTGATGCCGGTTCAGTTCGCCTTTTTGTTGAAGGAGCACGCCTTCGTTAGGAGTCTCCAGCGCTCATTAAAACACACACACACACACACACACACACACACACGGAGGCCAGGACATGGTTGGCTGTAATGAGAACGGGGCGGGCTTCCACTCTGAGGCAATTAGTCGACACAGATCCACACAAACCGCAGGTATCATGTACAGGACGGCGCTTATCAAACGGAAACAGCGGGACACACACACACACACACACACAGAGGAAATAAACAGCGACACTCACATGTTAGTGTGTGTGTGGGCGGGGCCAGGTCAGGAGGGTCACATGGTCTCCGTTCGTTCACCTGCAGGTGTTTAAAATAAACTCAGTGAGGTTTAATATCTGACATTATATTTGATTTGTTTTCACTTCTCAGCAACAGCGACATGGTTTGATCTCAGCTTCCTTTAACTGCGTGATTTATTTCATATAAACATGTTAAAGAGTTAAAGAGCCGCTTATTTTAAAAGCTTGTGAAACAACTGATATAAAAACTTTTCTGATACCTTAGTTTGAAGTACAGCGGTGGAGGCAGTTTTCAGACTCTGTTACATGTTAAGATAGTTTGAGCAAAAGTTTGTCAGGAAAATGTAAGTAGTTAAAGTAAGGGTGCGTTCACACCTGCCCTGTTTGGTTCGGTTCAATTGAACTCAAGTCTGTTTGCCTCCTAAATGTGGTTCATTTGGGCAGGTGTGAACACAGCAGTCACTCAGGTGTGCAATAAACTGCCTTAAAAAATCTTAATAAATGTCTGACAAATGTTAATATAGTGTCCGAAATATATTATCAAAATATCTAACAAATATTAATTAAAAAGCCCAACAAAAATAAAAAAAAGTTCTAAAAAAAAACAACTTAGTAAAATGTCAGAAAAAAAAGGATAATATGTCCGACAAATATTCATAAAAGTCTGAAATTTATTTATAAAATGGCTGTGAAATTTTCACCAAATGTCTAAAAAATATTTCACAAAAAATATATAAAAAAATATCAATAAAAGTCCTGAAAAAAGTAAAATTTCCAAAAAATGTTCAAACAATGTCTGAAAAAAAGATCTTAATAAAATGTTCAACACATATTTAAAAAAAAAATCTTAGGAATTTAATAAAAAAAACAATAAATAATATAGCTGAGAAATGTTAATAAAACGTCAGAAGAAATATTTATAAAATGTCCAAATAAATTTCCTAGACATTTTAACAAAATTCCAAAAAAATATTGAGAAAATGTCCAACAAATAATAAAAAAAGAAAGTCTCCCAAAAATCTTAATAAATGTCCGAAATATATTAATAAAAATATCTAACAAATATTGATTACAAAGTCCAACAAAAATAAAAAAAGTTCTAAAAAAAAACCATAATAAACCTTAAAAAAATGTCCAACAAATATCAATAAATTGTCCAAAAAATATTTATAAAAGACCTAAATGTATTTATAAAATGGGTGTGAAATTTTAACCAAATGTCTGAAAAATATTAATAAAAATTCCGAAATATATTAGTGAAATGTCCGACAAATATAAAAAAATCTTAAAAAACTAATAAAAAATGATAAATAACATAGCTGAGAAATTTTAATAAAATGTCAGAAGAAATATATATATAAAATGTCCAAAAAAGTAAATAAATAAAAACAAATAATATTAAGAAAATGTCCAATAAATAATAAAAAAAAAAGAAAGTCACCTTAAAATATTAATAAAATGGCTGAGAAAGTTTTAGAAACCCCCCCCCAAAAAAAAAAAAAATAATAATAAAATGTCAGAAAAAAATATTTATAAAATGTTCAAAAAAAAGTCTTAGAAATTTTAATAAAATGTCTGACAAATATCAATAAATTGTCCAAAAAATATTCATAAAAGTCTGAAATTTATTTATAAAATGGCTGTGAAATTTAATCAAATGTATATTTATAAAATGTTGAAACAATGTCTGAAAACAGATCTTAACAAAATGTCTGACAAATATTGATTAACAACTCCAACAAGAGTTAATAAAATGATCAACACATATTAAAAGAAATTCTTAAAAAATA